GAAAGATCAAGTGTTTATGAGAAAATGGTAAATAATAATAATAATAATAATAATAATAATAATAATAATAATAATAATAATAATAACGAATTTTTATACAGGATTGAAAACCCATCAGTGTGTAACACTGTTGTCCTTGGGGTCCTGTCAAAATAATAAATAAATAAATAAAATAAAACTTAACAAGATATAATCATTGATCTTAAGGTCTAGAAAAGCATACAATAAAATAAAATGCTCTGAAAAAGGATACCTATAACCACGTTTAGATCGAATTTTTAACTAAAATAATCTCGCAATTTGTTCTTAAATTTCAGTCTCGAATCTAACGACCTTAGTTCAGCAGGCAGGTTGTTGAAAGTCTTTGCTCCTTGGTAATAGAAGCTCTTTTTACCAAATTCTAAACGTACTTTGGGTAATTTCACTGATATACCGTTATTCCTAGTGGCCTTAGAATGAACCAGTCTTTCGAAGTAGTTCTTAAAGGGTGTGCAAACATTATTCAGGAGACAGTCGAAAACAAACAAACAGCTTTTACGCTTGATCAAATTGTTCACGGATGGGGGATTAAAAGAACTATTGCCAATAACTTTAAAGCCTCGTCGTTCGATGTTCTTTATCATTTCCTTTCGGTAATCCGGAAAGCTAAGACCAAGTGTTCCGCAATAGGTAAAAATAGGTGCGATCATAGTGTTATAGATCGATTCTGCACACTTTTGGTCGATCAAAGGACGAATTGATCGCAAGAGATTAATTCTGGTTGCAGCTTTTTTATAGATTCGGTCAAAATGTGATGCAAGGTTTAGTGATGAGTCAAGGTGAACACCTAAGTACTTATAGGTAGAGGTGTTATTGATGAGTGTCCCATTAACAGAAAGTTTAAGTTCCTTGTCTTGAAGGTTGATTCTTTTAGCTGTTCCAAATAACATAGACTCCGTCTTGTCCTTTTTTAGGTTAATGATCAGTTCGTTGTCTTTAAACCACTCGCACAGGTTATTCATATCCTCGCTAAGGCTTCTCTGTATAGTATCAATATCTTTAGAAGAGGTATAGATGACTGAATCGTCGGCATAAGTGATAATCTTCGAGTGTTGAAGCGGTTTATGTACATCGTTGAAAAAGATAATGAATAAGATAGGACCCAGGATACTTCCCTGAGGAACACCTGTGAGAATGGGTTGAGAATGGGTTATATAGCATCTTATTACATGGCTGTGTCTCACAAGGACTGGGAACTACTGAATTCACAAATTTGATTGGCTGAAATCAATATTCAAATGACATTAGATTTTGTTAGACGTTTAAGAATAAATATTAGCGAGAAAAACACACAACGTTTCGATGACTCCATGTCATCATTCTCAAGTGAGAAGAGAATAAAAATGAATAGTTGATTTATACCGTACGAAGGTGACAAATGTAAAAAGTTAAAAATTTTTTAAAAATTTAAATAATTGCGCATGTTGAGTTCATAAATGTAAACTATTAAATAAATAGTTTCACACGTATGGAATCCGATTGTTTGTTCAAAGAGGGCTTCATCTTCTTTATGAAAAGCATTTCATGAACTAAACAGTCCAGTTTCCCGGTGCACTTTTTAAGTGCGTTGAAATGCTTGGTCAGGTCACCGATGGTTTGTAGGCCGTGGTTGTTCTTTAGATGTTTGCCGATGGCCGAAATATGGTGCTCATTAATACGTTGATGTAAATGCCGGCTGGTGTACGTCGGGTACACCAGCTGGCATTTACGACCACGGCCACGTTTCGACCACAGCCATGTTTTCTCGAAACGTGGCCGTGGTCGTAAATGCCAGCTGGTGTACCCGACGTACACCAGCCGGCATTTACATCAACGTATTATTGAGCACTGTATTTCAGCCATTGGCAAACATCTAAAGAATGACCACGGCCTACAAACCATCGGCGACCTGACCAAGCATTTCATCGTACTTAAAAAGTGCACTGGGAAACTGGACTGTTTAGTTCATGAAATGCTTTTCATAAAGAAGATGAAGCCCTCTTTGAACAAACAATCAGATTCCATACGCGCGAAACTATTTATTTAATAGTTTACATTTATGAACTCAACACGCACAATTATTTATTTAAATTTTTAAAAAATCTTTAACTTTTTATGTTTGTCACCTTCGTACGGTATAAATCAACTATTCGTTTTTATTCTCTTCTCACTTGAGAATGATGACATGGAGTCATCAAAACGTTGTGTGTTTTTCTCACTAATATTTATTCTTAAATGAAATCAATATTGAAAGCGGTCTAGATTTTTCCATCTAGACCAGCATCTAGACCAGTCTAGAGAAAAAAGGTACAAAGAATATAAAAAAATTGGCATATAAGACACAGCCATATAATAAACATCTTATCAACCGAGCTAGGTCGGTCTGTACTGCGGCGATCTCGGTCAAGATTCTCCCATACAGACCTCCTGCTCAGTTAATAAGAACTAAATATAAGGAACCACTCAACCAATCAGATTGCTGGAAACTCTTTGCTCAGCTCGGAAATTATACTAATTATGATAATTGTTATAAAAAAACTCTTCTTTTCAGAAAATCACTTTATGAAGTGCTCATCAATTAAAAAAGCCATTATTACATACACTATTCAATTTCAATTGGACAAAATGCATTCTCTCAAAATCAGATGTTATGGATCTAAGTGATTTACTTTGATTTATTTCGGTCAGCACGATGCAAAGAAAGCTGGTTCAGAAGTTGTTAAGCAAGTCCAACATCCTCTTTTGAGTGGTCTGTTGTATCCTGGCCTGCAGGTATCTTTACAATCTTTTGTATTTATTTGGTTATTCCACAATCCTTTGACTCCCAGAAGTGATTAACATGCAACGTCTCCATA